GTTTGGGTTACATTTCACATGACAGTGGGTAGTCACAAAAGGCTGTAAATTAAACAATCACAGAGGGAAGAAATCACATTCCAAAGAGATCTTGGAGGGGGATTAAAATGAATAAAAATGAGCAGGAAGAAATAGAACGGGAATATCTGTAAAGAAACTTGAGAGATGCCAAGCAATCCTGTGAAATAGACGATGCTTGCAAATATCTGCTAAGATACCTTTTATTTACCTCTTCCACTGTATATGCTAAAAGGTGCAGAGCAGATTAACAAAGACATTTGTGTCAAAACATGTTTTATAAACCTTGAAAATAAAATGTACATAGGTGCACATGGTCCTATAAAGTGGGAGACAAAAACGTTATTTATAGGTAAAAATTATGAAGAATACAGGTTCTGTTGAATCTAGGAAATAAAGAAACTTACAGTGTGTAAATAGGATCTTGTCTGGATCAACTTTACATTAATCTAGAAGAATACAAGCTGTCAAATACCTTCAAATAAGCATCAGGCAAAATAGATATAAAAAATTACAAAATAGACAGCAAGTTGTTTTCTATGACATATGTACCAATATAAGACTGCTTACACACCAGTGACCTAGTAGTTAGGATATTAAACTAGAGCATCAGATTTTTCAACAGCATTTTGAACTTCATCGCCTGAATTTTTAGACAGCATTGCATAAGATCACTCAGTTACCCCACACTGATCACTCATTATTTTAACCTATTTCTCAGTATTGTTAGGAAGGTTTTTAAAAAAAAAATGGAGATAATAACTTGAATAAATTATTTTTGTCTGCTGTAAGTTTTCTATGAGTATATTATATATGACTCTCTCTGGATAGTTATACTAAAAGAGCAAATCTAACTTGTAGAATCAAGAATTCCATAATGCTTCAGAGTGCTACTATCCAGAATGCAGATGAAATATTTACATAATTGGTTGCTCCTCCATACATACTGAGAACCAGCAAGGAGTCTACCCTAGCATTTTCCTTGCAATGCTATGGACAAGGAAGGAATGCTATGGGCAGAGGCATGTGAATCCTTATTTCAGTTGGAAGTGATGTAGCTCTGATATTGATGTCTTATCTCACAGGTTAGCAGGTGGCATCTTTGATGAAGCTTCTTCGATGTTAATATCAGAGCAGTATCAATGGAGCCAGTGCTCCTCAGTGAAACATCACCTTTGCTCATGTTTCTTGTCCTGTTTTTTTGGCCAGTCCAGGAGATGATAGATAGATAGATAGATAGATAGATAGATAGATAGATAGATAGACAGACAGACAGACAGACAGACAGACCGAGGAACAGAAGAGAAATGGATATACAGGGGTTCACAACTGTAGAAGACTGAATAGATTTCCCCCACAAAAAATAGGGACTAAAGACAAATTGAGTTTAACATATACAACTGAGATGTAAAATCTATACGCAAATTAAATGTTCAGCAGCTACAAAATATGGTAACTAGGATATTGTCTGCAACTTCACATTATAATCAAATTACACCAGGATCATTCCACTGATTCCAAATTTGTTTTGAGGCTTAGTAAGAGTTGTTCTTATTAATTTAAAACTTTTCATGGCTTGGAACCATGTATCCTACTTCTTCCTATACTGGAATTATGAGATGATCCTGGGAGACCTTGTTTCAGATTCTCCCAATGTTGAGATGCAGCAGGTGTGGTTGCTTGTCAGTTTAATGTTTAGTACTGCTTCTTAAATATTAGATCGATTTGAAAAACAAGAGGCAGCAAACAAATTCCTAAATAAATCAATTATTCATAATAACTATACTATACTTTGCATTCAATTCATAGTATAATAATGCATATAGAAATGAGAATGCGCACATAGAATTTAATGCTAGTAGGGAAACTATTTACAGAAAATAAGGATATCAAAAAAGATCCATATAAAATGTATATATTTGGAAAAATATTCATGAAAAAGTAATCATTTTCTTGTTTGAACTTTACCTGTGACCAACCATACCCCATAGAAGTGGCTCTCTCAATCTTATCACCATCATTGGAGACATTTCTCCAAAACTCTCGTCATCAGAAGTGAAGTAGAAGATAGAATGTGACATGGTACCTCTTTCTGGAGGACCAGACCCTGGTAAGAGTAACACCCTTAGCATCTCAAGGACTGACTAATGCAATCTGATCTTCGCGGGACTGTCTTCGAGACTTTCCCAGAAGCTTCAGGTGGTGTAAAGATACAGATTTTAAAAAATGTTAAGTTATTCGGTCCTTAATGTTAAAGACAATAAGGTATAAGAAGAGGGAATAGTAAAAGAAGAGGCTAGAAATCATAAGAATCACAGGTAAATAATGGCAATTCACAAGAGTTGAACGTGGAACACTTTTTGGTCTGATGAGTTCATTAAAAACATACAGTGTAATATTTTCTTGGTTCCTGTATAATCCATAACAATAGCATTAAATCTCCTAATAAATTCTAACTCAGGTGTTATATATTGAGGTGTATCTCTGTAATATCTTTCTTTACAGTAAAGAGATTTAAATTTATTTAAGGGCAGGGCCAGAGTGTTCTGGGAGCTGAACAGAATTTGCTTTTGAAATTTTGTTCAAAGGAAAAGAGAATTTCAGTGATGTTCTTGCACATTTAGACACAACATGGCCTCTGTGTGTGTGTGTGTGTGTGTGTTTGTGTCTGTATGTGAGAGGGAGTGACAGAGGGAGAGAGAGACAGGAAAACTGCAGAGTCCTTTTTCCTACAGTCCTATTTCCAGTGGGTCCGCAGCTTTCCAACATCATGAAGGAAAGCCCTTGCTCTCAATGGGTCTCTTCATATTGAGTGGCGTGGGCAATCGGGGATGCTCTAGTATTGGAAAGACAGATGAAACAAACCAGTAAGACTAGCAGTAGTGCCTCAACCATTCTTCAGTATACCCCCCCCCCAAAAAAAACAAGCTCAAAAATACCAACAAGAGAAATCTGAAGGGAATTCTTGTGCAGTGAAGGTTAAAAAACAAAAATAAAGAATCTGAAAACTGAATTTGGATTTGGATTCAGTTGAGAGGCAGATTTGGATTCAGCATGAATTGAAATGTTCCCATTTCAATGGCCTGCTGCCATTTCTGCTGTCAGCAGATTCAGCCCATTTATTCTTTACCTAAAGCAGGGTTTCTCAATCTCAGCAACGTTAAGATGTGTGGACTTCAACTCCTATTCATGCTGGGTGGGGAATTCTGGAAGCTGAAGCCCACCCATTTTAAAAGTTGCTGAGGTTGAGAAACACTGGCCTAGAGATTCACCAATATAAACCCCAGTGGCATTGCTGAAATATGTTGCCATAAACCATATTGAAATATGAAAAAGGATATGATTATTCTTGTTTGGGTCCTCAAACGGTAATGCCAAAGTAGAGATGGAGCAGAATCTTTTTTTCTTCTGCAAGAGAATAACATGAATTTTCTCTGTAAACTAGGGAAAAGCAAGTCATTGGTAGTCTGTGTTTGGTCTACTTCCGGGGAAGAAATGGAGAACTGAAGATGGCTCTGCCGAGAGTGGAGCTGACGATGTGGCCAAATGAAGAGCTGGTGAAGGGACCGACTCTTCGCAATTCCTCTCCAGACAAGGAGAGGTCTGGGATTGCCCACAAGTGCGCCAGACAGCCGCTCCTTGCAAGGAGACTTCAAAATAGCGGTCTCCGGCAGGTTTAGAGTGCTGGATGATGAGAGATCAACATCATTGCCCAAACCGCAATTCAGTGCCTTTAAAAAGGAAACAGGGTTCACATACTTCCTTTCTTAAGCACCTTGGAAATGGCTTGCTTCCTGCTTTTTGAATATTAGGAACCTTCATATGGCACGTTTTACTACACTGGGTGAGTTTCCTTCAATCCTTAGTGAAAGAAGTTTTATGCTGTACAAGTTTAATGACTTAGTAAAAAAATTCTTTTGAAAAAAATTGGACATGAAAATCTAGCTGGAGCTGTTGGCTCAATAATCATTGCCTTATATAGCTCTGTGGACATGAAGGCTCAAGTCCATTTTTATTTTTTCCCATGTTTAAAAAATCAAATTATTGATCTCATTTATTAATAAAAGAGAGAGGATTGCAAAAGGATTAGATATCTTAGGGTTTATCAAAGGCCAATGAATATTGTGGATAAAAAACCCAGTTAATATCTGCTGCATAGTAAAAGCAAAATTTGGTGTTCTAATAAGCAATTAAATCGCCAGCAGTCATTGGATTGCCAATGTGGATTTTATTTTCTACAGCTTGAAAAAGTTTCCACATACCAAACACTAATGAGAGTTGCAGTGTCTGAGGGATAAAAATTTGGTGTGATTAAAACTTTCTCCTGATAAAATATTAAATATTTTGAAGGCAAAGTGGGATTTCTGTGATACTAATGCATCTGCACTTTTTTCTTCCAACAGCCAGTAATATTTATGATCCTAATAGCCTGATGAGCGGACTTTCTGTGCCAGCAGAGAAATGCTTAAAGTGGAGCATCTCTTACACAGTGCATCATTTACGAGCTCTGACATTACATCAGGGTTGCAAGGACATTATGGCAGCTTTTCAAACCCCTATGCTGCAGCCAATATCGAACTATAGTATCAAACTGCGGCGGGCTTTAGATAGAGGTTTATCTGCTGCTGAATGTTGAGTAAACTTAGCTCTCAAGACAGATGCAGTAAATACATAATTCAAACATGTGTGCTGATTTTAGTATGGAGGCATTTTTTAAAGCAAGCAAATGAAAACAAAATATACAAGCATTAGGAGAGGACTAAGAGATAATAGTTGTTACAACAGTTTTTTAAGTTTGCAGGTAAGGCACCTGAAGTGTTTGGGGAGGTAAGGATTGCAGAGGACCAAATGATAAATTCACTTGACCAACCAAAATCCAGGAGAAAGGAAGGAACAGAAAAAGAAATACAAGATTTATTTTATTTCATGTCTCTGTTTTCTATTTTTTAATTAATGAATACAGTCTCAATGCCTCAAAGCAAGAAAACACAGTACTTGCCGTTCTATTTCATGCATTCACTTCTGTTTGCAACTCATGGCTATAGCCCATTTGCCCAAGTCTTACTTTCTAATCCATATTTATACTGCATAACAGATACCTCAAAGAGGGGATCCTATTATCCCTAATATCCCCAATTTTAAGGCCATTGGCACTGTATAGGTTCCATCTGAACATCCAGCTGTTCCACAAGTACTGTTTTTATCCTCTTTCTCCTAAAAAGGGAAAGGTTTTTTCTGTAATCAAGTCATATTTTGGCTTTAGTTATGAAAATAACCTAATCAGTTATCATTACCTACTTCCAATTACCCGTGGAGAAAGCCATGTTTGTAAGCCATGTTACATTACCACTATGATACTACAGAGTTATGAATCTGCCTTAGCTTTAGAATTCAGCTACCAAAGTCAATCACTCTATAAATCAATAACATAAAGTCCGTGTCGCTGTTGTTTATTGGAAACCTTTCACTGATTAACAATTTACACCATTGTTGTGCTTCAAACCCCACCCCATCCAGTGAGATTCTATAGTCTGCTGGATGAATGGCATCTTCCATAGGTTCCTCCATCACTACAGAAAACAGTCTACTCTGCTACTGCACAATGTCTTATTATCTAAAGATGAGGAAAGAGGTCCTGGAATGAGACTATCGTGTTCGGACAAAGGGCAAAATACTCTCTGGCCAAGTTCTAAATCATTTTGGTTGAAACAACATTTGAAATACCTAATAAGGAGACCCAGATCTCTTTCCTATATGCTTGAATTAAATGTTTGAAGGCACCACCAAAGTAGCATTTCATACCTGCAAGTAATCATCTAGTTCACTATTGCAGTTTTTAGAAGCAATCTATAAAGGAATGTTTACTATAATACAGTAGGCAAAGTCATTATAATGTAAATAGAAAACAATGCCATAGAAAAAAGCATGTTGAGCACCATTGGTGTATTTCTCCTGTTCTAAAGGCTATGCGAAATGTCACTTACAAAAAACCTCAGTGAAATCTCACAATATTTCTTTGTTTTGATATTTTCAAGAGGGATATTGTTACTTATTAGGTAAAGTATCATTCTTTGGTACAGAGGGCTCCCTTATTGGTTGCAATGGACTTGGCTGATCATCTAGATGAGAGCTAAGATTTTCAGATGTTAAAAGTGAGGAATTAAAGACAATCTCACTCAAGTCAGACTTGATAGATATCAAATGGGGATCTTCAGAGCTTAAAGGCTCCTCAGCTAAAACTTGTGTGTTCTCTCGTGTCATTCCCACATCAGATGGTGATTTCCTTTTCATTCGTGTATATGATTTGTCAAGATTTTCCATGCCTTGATCAGTTTTTTGAAAACGTCCAAAGAACCAGATGAAGAATCCAAACAAAACAAATGCTAATAAAGATGGAATGAAGGCCAAGCATTTAACATCTAGGCTTGCACCAATATATCGGCTATGCAGAAACATGTCATCTTCAGCATAGGTCCTGTTGGTCAAAGGGTTAGTGTTGTTTGACCGCCACTCCCAAGAAAGTTTGGTTCTGTTGAGGTCCTTTAAGCTTTCTAAATCTTCCACAGTATAAATTTTCTGTCCAGGACCAATATATTGACCGTATTCATGTGGCTTGTAGAATATTTGATTCTTCCACATATTCAGATCCAAGATTAAAACAAGAAATATAATCCCATAATTAAACCATTTGCCTGCAGCAGAATGAAAAGAAAAGGATAATAATTAGAAAATTCCTGTTTACAACTACAGCATGCAAAGTCAGTAGGAAAAATAAGATGTGAGCTTTTTCAATTAATTTCACAATGAAGTTTTAATTAAATTCTTTGTAACAGTAGATTTGTGACTGAATAAGTTTTACAATTTAGGTAGTTAATCATTTGGAAATGTGAGCCTAGAAGTAAAATGCTGAAATTCTTATAGTAAGGTCTAGGTGGCCTGTGGATTAAGCCATTCTGTGCTGCAGTGTAGATCACTACACAGGAAAAGCAGCCTCTTTATACTTTAAAATAGGTCCTAAAAAATAAAAGCCATATGACAGATCATTTTTAGAGGCTATTTTTGTGTTGTTACTAGTCATCAAACACTATAATATGTATTGTGGAAAAAATGGAATTCAGGAACTCAGATCAAGAAAGACTGTAGACTTGCATGTTCAAGCAGTAGATGACAATTATTCTATACTATTGCTTTTGAATGATAGATATGGATTTAACTCTGAAGTTAATCTTCTTCCCCCATGCTTCTTTTTCCTCATCTTAACTTTAACAAAAACGGAACACAATAAATTAAACTGGTTAAATAACAATTAAAAGCAGCAACAGAGACCAAACTACTAACAGTAGCAGCAGCAGTACAAAAGTTAAAAGACAGAGAATGAAAAGATTTTGCCCTGACTCCAAAAAGATAATGGAAGACGTGCCAGGGGAGATCTCTGAAGAATTGTATTACTGCATTC